TCTCAATTTGTGGAGCATGCCCTAGTCCGTTTAAATTTCTGAATTGTTATATTTTCAGACACTGGATCCACTTGATGGCTCCCTGAAAAAAAAAACCGTATCATGATATATTGATGTGGCAACAATTGTGTCCTCAAAATGGTAATCTCGCTTACCTTATTGAACCTTATTTGAACGGACATTAATTGAACACTGGAAGTCGTAGGGTTCATCTTAATGTCCGTTAAAATAAAGTCTGTCCGTTTAAGGTCTGTCCAAGTTAAAGTCCGTTGTATTTTTTTCCAACATTATTTCACAGCGAACTCAGATCATGTCTAGGATATGACAACTGAACATTGCACGTTGGACTTGTTATTGCTAGGTGATGTCTAAGTGTATCCTGCACTCTGCAGAACTGTTATCGCAACGCCATAATGTGTGGAGAGAGTGGAGAGTGGAGAAAGTGGAGATAGTGGAGAAAGTGGAGAGTGTGGAGATAGTGGAGATAGTGGAGATAGTGTAGATAGTGGAAAAGTGGAGAAAGTGGAGATAGTTGAGATAGTGGAGATAGTGTAGAGAGTGGAGAAAGTGGAGAAAGTGGAGAGTAGAGAGAGTGGAGAGTGGAGAAAGTTGAGAGAGTGGAAAGTGGAGATAGTGGAGATAGTGGAGATAGTGGAGAAAGTGGAGAGTGGAGAGAGTGAAGAGTGGAGAGTGGAGAGAGTAGAGAGAGTGGAGAGAGTGGAGAGAGTGGAGAGAGTGGAGAGAGTGGAGAGTGAAGATAGTGGAGAGAGTGGAGATAGTGGAGAAAGTGGAGACTGGAGAGTAGAGAGAGTAGAGAGAGTGGAGAGTGGAGAAAGTGGAGGGAGTGGAGAGTGGAGATAGTGGAGATAGTGGAGATAGTGGAGATAGCGGAGAGAGTGGAGAGAGTGGACAGAGAGGAAAGAGTGGATATACTGGAGAGTGGAAAAAGTGAAGATAGTAGAAAGTGGAGATAGTGGAGATAGTGGAGCTATTGTGGAGATAGCGGAGAAAGTGGAAATAGTGGAGATAGTGGAAAAAGTGGAGAGAGTGGAGAAAGAAGAAAGGGTGGATATACTGGAGAGTGGAAAAAGTGAAGATAGTAGAAAGTGGAGATAGTGGAGATAATGGAGAAAGTGGAGAGTATAAGCGGAGAGTTTTTAGCATAATAATCGCCTTGTAAAAATAATGTTTCCTCCCTAGGAGAAAAATTAGTTAGCTAGGTAGTACTTGTATCACGTGGTGACCCCACGGTCGCTTCACTATAGCGTCTTCACTATAGCGTCTTCACTGTAGCGTCTTTGACGCTACAGGGGGAGCCGCACTTCGTGCGCGGCGGGTCATACAACGTATGACAAGGTAGTACGCCATCGATAGTGAGCCGCGCGTGCCGACTGTAGGATGGTTTTTAGCGCTAATTTCGGCCACCATGGCAACACAAAATTCTTGAAAGTTGTTTATGTTATGTAGATTTATAAATATAACCTACAAGGACGCACGCCGAGTTGGAATCGTCGACGGTCCTCCGTCCTGGCCTGAATATTTGAAACAAATATTTAACGAGTATTACCCAATACGTATTGCATATTGAGTAACCTTCCTTTGATAAAATTTTAACAAAAATTGGTTAGCTTATTTTTAGATTTACAAGAAAACAGTAAAACTGTTCAAAAAATTTAAAGCATATCCAACCATTATATTAAACATTATGTTACAACTAAAAGCAACGTATTTTGCCCTATTTTCATCACCATTATAGCTTTATCGATCAACTGACAACTCCGCAATGTTGCTCTAACCAGAGCCCTCTCGCTTGCAGTAGCGCGCGTCACGCAGTACGCGTAGGCACATGGCTATGTGAATCCGCAATGCAATATCCACCAAATTTTTTTTGGACAGTTGTAAAAGCCCTACCGGAAAGTCGTCCCAAAATTTCAAAATTATCTCATTCAAGAAACTAAACCGAAGATATATAACAAAATAAAACAATAAAAATCAGCGAATTTCGTCAAATTACGTTGACCATTGTTGTTTAGTTGTTGATGGATGTTACTCGTCTAAATTTCTTCGAAGTAGCGCGCGCCGCTTTCTTCTAGAAATGTTCTCTACAATGGTCAATCATGGTTGATGGTCAGGTCTGGCCCGGCGCGCGCTACGTCGTAGCAGTAGTTGCCATCGGGCCATAATAATAATATTTCGAGAAGAAAGCGGCGCGCGCTACTTCGAAAAAATTTAGACGAGTAACATCCGTAAACAAATTACGCAACTTTTACACATGCTTTTGCTCCAAAAGCCGCGCACCATCAAATATGGCACCTTGGCGAAACTCACTGATCATTCCAAAAATATATAACAAATTTGGTACTGTGAAAATTATCACAGTCTCTAAAAAAATGGTACAAACATTTTTTTAAAATCCGAGCAAGTTTATGTTTATCGTGCACCACCGAATATGTAAATTAGGGATATTGTAGTTTTTTACCCAAAAAACTCTACAATGACCTAGCTGGGGACCTCAGGCTATTATATTTATGCTCATAATCATATGGAATATAATAGAGATAAGGCGGAATGACAGGCTGAGCGCCATGCCGCCATCTAGTAACCCTTCACGGATGTTGGATTTGTGCATAAAATGTGTATTACTATATACTAACTATAATGAAATAAAATAGTAATTTTAATAATTAAATAGCTTCACCAACTCACTATTGCAAAGAAATTTTCTTGCTTTCCCATAGAAAAGAGCAAGCAATTTGAATACTGGGATATCTCTTATACAACAGATATGGGAGTCTATTTGGGCATGTAGAGGATTAATTCTACCGAAACTACAAATTTACATACCAATTTCGGAAACCTTAATAAAGACTCTGGAGGTTTAGTCACAGTTGTTTTGCTATTAAATCCTTGTTCAATTTTCTGCGTTAGTTAGTTTTCAATATAAATTATTGACCCACCCACAATATGGGGCCATAATTATTTTAATAACACGTTACATTGATGGAAATTAAATTTATATTATTGTTACGAGTCACCGACATCTAAATTTTTATTACAGGAAATAAAAGGCTTACCCTGATAAATGATCTATCCCTCTTCCAAGCTAATTAAAATGATGAAGAGACATTTTATGATCGTTTTTCTGTTTCTGTTGACAGCTTGTCACGTCATCGATTGTGTACAAATCTCATGTTCAAGAAAAAGTCAAAAGTTTAAATGTCATGGAATTGGCAAATTTTCTAATACAATCGAAGTCTGTGATTTAGGCCATCAAATCTGTCAATATAAAGACAGTATAAAACCTATCTGTATGGAGAAAGCAGTAGATGCTGTAATATGTAACAGCACCGATAAAATCAGTTGTGTTTGTGACTACAACAACAATTGGATTCCCTTCTTGTGCGTGTGCTGACAGAGGTACACTAAAACAATTAACACTATATAGCTGGTTGGGTATTTCAGCTGGTATCGCACTTTCGCTGATATGTGCTGGCATTTTCATCTATCGCTTTTTATTGAGACGAAAGAAGAGACTTGATAGATCTCCAGCACCTTCAGATGAGGATGGTGAATCCCCTCCGCCATCTTATGAAGCTGCTGTTGGACTTACTGATGATTGAAGTTCTTGCAATCACTGAACAAAAGTATATTTCAGTGAGGTGGACTGTATTTTAATATATTATGAAATTACAATAGGTAAAGTTGTATGTTATATCAATGAAAAGTGGTATAGATTAAAGGATTGTGATTTCTGAGGCGTGGAACATAATTTTTCTACACAAAGATGGCACTCAAAAGATTAAGGTAACTGTCACCAATAGCAATGGATGTGTTAATGAGGACAAAACTGAGTTCATTCATTTTTATATCGCAAGATGAAGTGAAAAGGGTGAACATTAACAAATAAAGAACCCTGGAGGAAAGCGGTATCTCTTGGATCACGACTCTGCAGTACGGTTGACATACAACACTGCTGCATACACTGTTCCCACTTAAGAACTTATCACAAACTCATGATTGTACTACAGATAGGAAAGATTTTCGGCATTTTTAACCACTTGATGTAACTTTTCAATTATTATCTTAACTTATAAATTTTTGATCAGATGGAATTTATATTTAATAATTTAATTTGTAGTTTATTTGATATTGATATTGCTGAACAAAGTTAACTCCTGAGATTATTTAAAAATCTATTTTTTAACAAAGAGACATAGAGTATAAACGACTATGTTTGCACATAAATATCTATCCAATCCAGAATTCAAGGGGGGAAGGGTGAGTGTGTAATCCTCATGATCTGCACTCTCCGACAACTATTATATGCCAAGTTACACCACTCTCAGAGAGGATTGCTGAATCCAGATGAGAAATGTTTGGACACGTTCTCAGAAGTGATTGTGCTTCTCCACCATAATCAGTTCTACACATAGCTATTGTGTCAAAATTACACTAGCGTAATCATTTGGAAACCCCCCTCTCTCTCCCCCCTCCCCCCCCTTGGCTGATTACATAATATGTGGATGACTCCTTATGTTATAATAACATTTTAATTTTTTTCCCTAGACTAGAATAATACCACTTCCAATTAAAAATATTCAAATGGATAAAATAGTGATAAAATATAGCAATCGATCGGATATCCGGACTTAAAGTAAGTCAGTTTATATCACATCAAAAATAATCATCCTTACCAGAAACACAGCAAATTGTAAAACACTCAAAACACAATATAATACGACAACAAAACCGATCAAAATTTGCTCTCAAAACTGCTTTGAGAGCAACTATAACAACATATATAACAACAGATTATATTTTCTTATTATTATGTACTAATCGGTAATCACACTGATTATAAAATCGCGTGGAGTTTTAAGCAAATCTAATTGCATGTATAATACGACACCAGTTATTGCACTTGGCTGCGCCTTGCATTATATGCAGTTAGATTAGCGTATATAAGTAACTTAACCTAACAATATTTCATTCTTAGTTTATGGATGGAATCTCAAAAGTGCTATCATACGCAATGCGAAACATCGCCAGGGGTTTGGAGTTACTGTGATCAGGAATACTATCATTGTGAAGATAGCAGGTATTATGAAGGTGAATTAAGATGCTATTATTATGGATATAGTTCTAGTTCAGGCTATATATATTGCTCAACCTCTGATGTCTGCACTCAAAGTGGGCATGGCCAAGCTATGTGCTTGTCAGGTTATGAACCACCTGGAATGAGCCATATGACAATGGTCATCATAGCTATTGCTGCTGTCGTCATGTTTGTTATTTGTTGCATCTGTTGCATCTGTTGCTGCAAAAAGTGCTGTTGCCAGAAACAAAGGAACCAGGGGAGAGTTATCAACGCACAACCAGTCACATATAATAACCAGCCCACTGCAACTGGAACTGCAATGTCAATCACAAGTCCTCCTGGTCAACAGTTTCCTCCTGGTCAACAGTTTCCTCCTGGTCAACAGTTTCCTCCTGTTCAACAGTTTCCTCCTGGTCAACAGTTTCCTCCTGGTCAACAGTTTCCCCCTGGTCAACAGTTTCCTCCTGGTCAACAGTTTCCTCCTGGTCAACAGTTTCCTCCTGGTCAACAGTTTCCTCCTGGCCAACAGTTTCCTCCTGGTCAACAGTTTCCCCCTGGTCAACAGTTTCCTCCTGGCCAACAGTTTCCTCCTGGCCAACAGTTTCCTCCTGGTCAACAGTTACCCCCTGGACAAGTTAGCAACCAATCGGCTGGTCAATACCCTCCACCTCAGTACCAACCTGCCCAATGTCGTCCAGAAGGAGCTCAATACCCCCCTGTTCAATACCCTCCTGTTCAATACCCACCTACTGCTACAAGTGCTGCGTATCCACCTCCTCTTCAAGATTCATCTCCTCACCCTCCTCCTTACACCGCTCAGCCTCCGGAGAATCCTTACATAAAACACTGAAGGAAATTCTGAGAAAATCTTAAAGCAGATAAAAAGCAAAAAGTTTTTTATGAGGAAGAACGTCCGAACTAAAATATGGTTCATTTCAGTAATTTTAAAATCGCATGAAAAAAGTTAATATACTAATTCAGTGTCTTTCATCTGCTCTTTTACTTATTTATCATAATAAAGTTATAACTGATTTATATTAAACATAAAGGTGGGTTCATAATTATTGGTGTGTTTGAAACTATATTAGATCTTTAGATTGACTATGACACACTACTTCAATATTTTACATTGAATTGATCATCATCTAAAGCTCAAATCCCTTCATTGGCTCAAGGTGAAGGAGAGGGTTGAGTTTAAGTTATGTTTACTGATTTTCAAAGCAGTCAATGGTGTTGCTTCTGCATATCTGTGTGATCTGGTAACATTTGTTAGTTCGAGTAGCAGAAGAACTTCCTCCTTACACCTACCTGTTGGGTCTACAAGATCGCACCCAAGAGCGTTTCAGACTGTTGCTCCGAAAATCTGGAACCAACTACCAATTGAAATTAAGACTTGTTCTGATGTTGATCTGTTCAAAACATTATTAAAAACTCACCTGTTTAAGAAAAGTTATGGCATGAGCGATTAATTGACAGTATAACTTTATGTCATTTGCTTAAACTGTTTAGGATGCAACCTAATGTCATGATCTTTTTGAACTCATTAGCAATTAGACTGATAGCTCGCTTCATAAGCATGTCATCTTCGTTCCAAAACTTGTTATGTCCTATGCATACACTCGACTCCTTGATAGTTATCTTGATCTAGTATCCTTGTTTCACACAATATTAGAGCATAAGTTTTGTGGTTTATCCACTGGGCTTAGAGTTTGTGTTCAAGCTACAAAATTTTATTATTATTATTTTAAGTATATAATGTACAATATTAATAATATTGAACATCCATCATATCTTATTATTAAGAGATCAACTATAATTTGTTAGAGTTTGGAGAATATTTGATTTACATTTTACATGTACATGATTTTCTGAAAGAGTAAAGTGAAATTGTGATGATTCAAAAATGTTGATCCTGGCCAAATGTTTTGTTTTTGATGGCTGATCGAAGTTGATTATTGGACGCTCTATTGTAATTTACCAACAAGGGGTCGTTCACATATTACGTAATCAATATTTTAGCAAGTTTTACCCCCCTCCCCCCTTCCGTAATCAACCGTAATCAAGACCCAACCCCCCCTCTTGACAGCAATATTACGTAATCATGGCCTGACCCCCCCCTTTACTTTTTTCCTAGAAAACACTTTTCTCTACGTTTCAATTTTCATGCTACCCTGATCATGCTATCATGATGAGCCGAAATCATTGTTATGATATCCGGCCAAGCACCTTCTAAACTACTTACTATTATAGCCGGATATTCGATCAATTTCTAAATTTTATCACTATCAGAGTGAAATTGAGTGGAATTTGAAATAAAATATTGTCAAATTGTTATTATTCTAGAGGGTAAAAAAAAAATTTTGATTACGTAATCAACGACCGAACCCCCCCCCCCCCCCCCCCCCGTTATCAACCGTAAGCATTTGGAAACCCCTCCTCCCCCTCGGCTGATTACGTAATATGTGAACGACCCCCAACAGATTGTTTGAACAATGAACAAGTGTATTTGAGCATTTGGTAAACGGGCTACAGGATTTATTAAACTCTTAAATTTTCTACTGATTGAGTTATTAAATTATTAATTTTTTATAACTAATTGATAAAATTATGTTTTAAGTACTGAAAGAAAATATTTAAATAAATTTGAATTGTATAATATATTATATAATATTCTTTTTTCGTAAGTTGAATAGTTTTAAAATTGCTTGAATTATAGAGAATAGAAAGAACTAGGTTCAAATAAAAAATTGACAATCAATTGGTTTATTAAAAAAAGGAATTGCACGACACCTGAATTGCTTTTAGCTTCTGAATGAATTATAGAACAACTTTTTTTAAATGTGTGACATTTCTATCTTCCAATAGATATTTTCTTCTCAACTCAAATACATGATTATAGGTTTTGACCGCTTCACTACCCCTAGCTACTACCCTTAGTAACCGCCTCACTACCCCTAGCTACTACCCTTAGTAACCGCCTCACTACCCCTAGCTACTACCCTTAGTAACCGCCTCACTACCTCTAGCAAGCTCCAGGAATGCGAGTTCTGTTCGTGACGGCTCTGCTAGTCCGGCTAGCAAGTGTGTTCGTGGTACAGACCTCTTACGTTCCAGACGAGACGTGGCAGTGCACTGAGGTTTGTGTTACTGTTACTGTTACTGTTACTGTTACTGTTACTGTTACTGTTACTGTTACTGTTGCTGTTGCTGTTGCTGTTGCTGTTACTGTTACTGTTACTGTTACTGTTACTGTTACTGTTACTGTTACTGTACTACTGTTACTGTTTCTGTTACTGTTACTGTTACTGTTACTGTTACTGTTACTGTTACTGTTACTGTTGCTGTTACTGTTACTGTTACTGTTACTGTTACTGTTACTGTTACTGTTACTGTTACTGTTACTGTTACTATTGGTGTTACTGTTACTTACACTCGTATAGTACGTAAGTAATAACTTCTGACACAGAGCTTGCAAATATAACGAGCGGGTTTATTGCACGACAGTGGGGGGGGGGGGGGGGCAGTGGAGTGATATTAATGTATTATCTTATCACAAGTCTGCAGAATTAAAGCAGACTCGTGTACTGGACATATCAGTCAGCACGCTACACCCTAGTGAGCTGTTACGTGAGTAAAGGTCAGTTGCTATGAAATACCGTCTTTCTACAGAGCCTACCATTATTATCTCTGTTTTTGCAGGTGGCACACAAGCTGGTGTTTGGGAGTGGACATCTGACGTGGGAATGGCAGGAGGGACTCAGATCTTATCTTCACCCTCTACTCTTTTCTCTTCCTTTACTGGTAAGTTAGGGAGGGACTCAGATCTTATCTTCACCCTCTACTCTTCTCTCTTCCTTTACTGGTAAGTTAGGGAGGGACTCAGATCTTATCTTCACCCTCTACTCTTCTCTCTTCCTTTACTGATGAGTTAGGGAGGGACTCAGATCTTATCTTCACCCTCTACTCTTCTCTCTTCCTTTACTGGTAAGTTAGGGAGGGACTCAGATCTTATCTTCACCCTCTACTCTTCTCTCTTCCTTTACTGATGAGTTAGGGAGGGACTCAGATCTTATCTTCACCCTCTACTCTTCTCTCTTCCTTTACTGGTAAGTTAGGGAGGGACTCAGATCTTATCTTCACCCTCTACTCTTCTCTCTTCCTTTACTGATGAGTTAGGGAGGGACTCAGATCTTATGTTCACCCTCTACTCTTCTCTCTTCCTTTACTGGTAAGTTAGAGAGGGACTCAGATCTTATCTTCACCCTCTACTCTTCTCTCTTCCTTTACTGATGAGTTAGGGAGGGACTCAGATCTTATCTTCACCCTCTACTCTTCTCTCTTCCTTTACTGGTAAGTTAGAGAGGGACTCAGATCTTATCTTCACCCTCTACTCTTCTCTCTTCCTTTACTGGTAAGTTAGGGAGGGATCAGATCTTATCTTCACCCTCTACTCTTCTCTCTTCCTTTACTGGTAAGTTAGGGAGGGACTCAGATCTTATCTTCACCCTCTACTCTTCTCTCTTCCTTTACTGGTAAGTTAGAGAGGGACCAGATCTTATCTTCACCCTCTACTCTTCTCTCTTCCTTTACTGGTAAGTTAGAGAGGGACCAGATCTTATCTTCACCCTCTACTCTTCTCTCTTCCTTTACTGGTAAGTTAGGGAGGGACTCAGATCTTATCTTCACCCTCTACTCTTCTCTCTTCCTTTACTGGTAAGTTAGGGAGGGACTCAGATCTTATCTTCACCCTCTACTCTTCTCTCTTCCTTTACTGGTAAGTTAGAGAGGGACCAGATCTTATCTTCACCCTCTACTCTTCTCTCTTCCTTTACTGGTAAGTTAGGGAGGGATCAGATCTTATCTTCGCCCTCTACTCTTCTCTCTTCCTTTACTGGTAAGTTAGGGAGGGATCAGATCTTATCTTCACCCTCTACTCTTCTCTCTACCTTTACTGGTAAGTTATGGAGGGACTCAGATCTTATCTTCACCCTCTACTCTTCTCTCTTCCTTTACTGGTAAGTTAGGGAGGGACTCAGATCTTATCTTCACCCTCTACTCTTCTCTCTTCCTTTACTGGTAAGTTAGAGAGGGACTCAGATCTTATCTTCACCCTCTACTCTTCTCTCTTCCTTTACTGGTAAATTAGGGAGGGACTCAGATCTTATCTTCACCCTCTACTCTTCTCTCTTCCTTTACTGGTAAGTTAGGGAGGGACTCAGATCTTATCTTCGTCCCATTTCTTCATTCCTGTTGTCACCTAGTCTAGGGAGTCAACTTAGGATTCTGTTGGATCGACGCGACATAACACATCTGTGTAACATCTCCTCGGTTGAATCAGCGTGATAGAGGGTTAAGGAAGGTTGGGTTAGGGTACCTCTTCTGCACAAATCTACATCGTAGTGCACTGTAAAACCATTACATACATACATAGTACTACATACATAGTATAACTGTAGTACTATATTTTCTCTTTTTCTTAACTATTTTATTGGCTCCACAGTCTGCTTTACATTTTATGAAAAGCTTTAGTTTTATGAAACATTGAACTATCCCCGGGCTTTTCTAACCCCTCCCTCTACATTATATCTATTTTCCGGTCGGATAGTCTGAATGCACAGACCGTTTACCGCGTTACAAGCACTCACAGGCTAGCCTTGGCTAGTTTGCCCGCTTATTTGCTGTTAATAACTTGATAGCAGTGTTGATAATCTTTAGCTAAACACGAATACAAGATAGCAGCGCATCACATTCCACCTCGGCCTCTTACAAAACCCGCATCACGTACATCACGTACATCACGTACATCTCGTACATCACGTACATCACGTACATCACGTACATCACGTACATAACGCACTGTTCTAAGAATTTCTTTGCTTCATTAAAGTGTGTAGAGCTCTCTCGTATGTTTCAACTCATAATCTGAAATTCGAGAAGATACAACCTTAACCCCATGTAATGTCATATGTAATGTAATATAATGTATAACGCAAGCCCTCCACAGACCTTCCCACCTCTATAGTACGTAGTAATACTACTATGTAACGTAGTATGTAGGTAGTTACATACTACTGATTAATTGAGTGGACTAAAAATGTGTGACATGCAGTTCTAAGTGGATAGAATATGCCAAGTCATGGGCTATACACTCAGTTAGTGATAGTTCACATATTAAGCAAGCCATTTCTGGCCATTTTAGACTCCCTCCTCCCTCTGTAAACCACTTTACACAAATTACACCAGCGTTTACTTTGTTAAGCTTGATCATTATCTTTAGCTTCCAAGGGCTAACTTATAGCGACTCCAGCAGTCTTGTAACCGACATATTATTATAATGCCAAGTTGCCATGCAAGTCAGGGCAGATTAATGTTGTGGGATTAAGTTATAATGTTAACTGTTACTGTCTAGCCTTATCAACTCAACTGCTTAGTATAGACAAAAGAGATGTATTATATAATACGCCAAATTAGTAATGAGCTGCTCTGGTTTCCTAGAAGATTATCAACTGATAATTGTAGGAGTATTTTATTTTTTTTACGTATCAGCTGAAATTTGTGGACCAACAATTTATAATTTCATGATAATGACGTCGTAATGTACCAATCACCAGTGCGAATTGTTAACACGTGATATTTACATGCATTTAATTGTTCTTCAATATCTTATCATGATCCCCGCATGAAGGAGCCATGATAAGGGGCGATAACGAAGAAGAGAAAATATGTGCCTTGTTCAAGAAACGCAGTAACTTGGGCTAGTTATATATTTCACTAAAAATGATAAAACTTGGAATTTTGAAACTCTAAATTACTTGCTGGTATTTTCAACATGTTTCAATGATTCTACACATTATCTTCCAAACGTTTCGATCATAACGCACACTGATGATTATCGTACACTGCTGTGATGTAAATACATCAACTAATTATCTGAGGAAACATTTTGACCTGCCTAATTACCTAGTTGCCTAATGAACTAATTACCTGCCTAGTGCCTACACACATTCTCCAAATAATATTCATCAATACATTCCCCCATCATTACCTATTATCGTATCACAACCGACTGTTCCTTGATTTAAGCAGTTTAGCCAGGTTGTCTAATTTTACCAAAACCCATAATTGGTTATAATACAGGGTGGGCCAAAAGTCAGTACCCATACGTTGGCCTTTATAGCTCAGTCACTGAGTGCCCAATTTAAATACTTCCTTCTGGTATGACTTAGTACCACCACTGGTTCGAGGAATTTGTCAACTCGAAAAATATTCGTGTTCATTTTTTTCAAATGGAGGTTCATTTTCACATTTATTTGATAGTTTGGATAGCCGGATCAAGCTAAATGTTATTGAATTGTGTTTGGCCATTCGAATTACGTTTGTCCTGAAAGAATTAGAACTGTAGCTTCTCAGATGACCGAGATATGAAGCATAACGAGTTTATTCATTACGTGTGATCAGGTGATTGGTTTACCTAATCACGTGATAAGGTGACCCTGTTAACTACCCCGTTAAACATTATGGAAATTGTTAAGGGTGCCCAATTAAGGTGTTGTGTCACGGTGTCACATAATCACCCAGTCAATTTTGTTAACGAGATACAGAAACTGCTTGATAACTTCGTCATTTCTAATCCGTTTTGCCTCATGTTTTCAGATCATATGCAACATTTGATAATCTACCGTCTCTGAAAAAATTAGGCGTTCAGCATGTTCAGAGAAAACAGTATAGGTGTTTTAATATTGAATGGGCGTGGTCTAAAATATTCTAATTTTCAAATTTTGACGACGGAATCCTCGAACCAGTAAGTACAGTATGCCATCTGCAAAGCAACGGAGTAATAGCTTAGTGGACCGCTGCCAGTATCTCCCTTACCCAAACAGTAAAGGGGGTAAATACTATAAAAGTAGAGGGGTATAATAGTATAGGGGGTACAATAGTATAGGAGATAAAAGGGCGATGGTCGTGCTTGCCAGCACTGTGATGTGTATATATCAGTTTCTTATTAGCATTCTAGTAAACTAATTGATAAATACTTAGTAACTCCTCTTCTTCAGGAAGTGAGGTTATTAAGGTAACTACATTTACCAAGGTTACCAAGGTTACAAGTTACTAAGGTTACGTATTTTCTTCAGGTACTCAAGTTACTAAGGTTCGACTCAGCTGCACTTGTCATTCTGGTACCTCGACTTTTTCAAGCTCTGCTCTGTTTTGCGGGTAATTGTATTTAGGCAAACATTTTTAATCATTTATCAATTAGACATTTTAGGTACATAAAACTATAAAATGTAGCCTTTTTAAGAGTTTATTCTATTTTCATAACACCGGGCTCGAATACGATGTCAGTGGAAATTTGTTAAGTACGTCACTTTTAGAATTGTATTATATTGTAAAAAGAAATTTATGACAATGAAACTGATGACAAGTTTTAAATTCTTTATAATATTATGTTCTAAAGATTAAATCATGATATTATGATCTTATTGAATCTGACCTCCCTTATCATTGAGCAGGTGACGTGTTGTTGTACCGACTAGTGGTCAAGTTATACGGACACTCCCAAGCTACCTACTCCGTCATAATGCAACTCTCATCCTGGTGAGGGAATATTTAATTAGGACTGATTAGAACTAATTAGGACTAATTTACTAAATTAGTAATTTAGTTATCATCTTCTTTTTTATTGATTTGTTAAATAATTACCTGTGATGTACGAGCACTTGTTCACGAGGTCGCTGACACACATTTTGTGCTATTTTATGAGATCCATTGTACAGGACTCGGGGAGAACTAATTATTGTACAATTGGTAATGATATAAATGAACAAGTCACACTGGTTGTAGGGTAGACTTTTTCTAAAGTGGAGCTGTGGAGTTCGTCTTCATTGGTATTTGTAGACCTACTCACTTTCAACTTCCAAGCAATTCTTAACGTAGGTTTGACTACTATCAGATTGACACCGTAACCATCACAACTTCCTCATTATTTCTACATTTATAAGCCGAGCAAAGTGATTAGATGTCTGACATCGCAGATGTGCATAACAATTAACATCTAAAGATCTAATCGCTTACTTGAAACGTTTTGGCAAAATCAAGCGCGTTCGCGTAACGCGTGATACCATAATGGTGATGCCGTTCACGCGCACATACGTACGACCTCATGTTATAGATCTTTGAGGGGGTCTGTAGTCCCCCCGCATAGTATGTTTGTGTTTCACTGATTTGTAAACTGAAGACGTAAATAATAATATTATGTGCACTTAAATTAGATTCTTATCGTGTATTTTAACAGGTGATACCCGTACTATACAATATCTTTTTGAAATATAACATCTTCGATGAGTTGTGAAGCAACTCGGCGCGTGCGTTAATAGGCTATAAAACACACTTTTTTATATGACCAGGTGGAAAACAGAAAGTACGGGACATTTTGCAGATTAAAGGGATAAGTCGCAATGAAACTACCGGACCACGATGTATGGGGACTTACCACCCCATGGCAACATTAAAATATATCGACTCTGTTACATCGTTTCCTGTTAATATAAAACTCCGTTACAAATTGAACGATGAACTTGGATCTGGCAATACTACAACTTAGTTCAATAAAATATGATAAAGTAATGTATAAAAGTCTGATAGAATATAGAAAACAAAATAGTATACTGCTTGAAAGCTTAACAATACACTGTGAAAGAGTAGTCAACGTAAATAAAACTGTTCCGATACAAGTACAACTAAAGAAATAGATCACGCTAAATAAAAGGTAATATGCATATTGCATAAGGACACGGAAATCGTCTGTTGCGCGTGATAATCGTGGTTACTGACAATAAAGCAATAAGCACATGTTACTAATGGGCTCATGAAGACCAATTTTTGATTAGATTGTCAAGCATAGCTCGTCACAACATACCGTGAGGTGTAACATTTTCAATCAAGGTCACAAAAAGTAATATCATGGTTTGTTTGGTAATGTTAACGGAAAATATCGATAAACCTGCCTGCTTTTCAAATTCTCCCTGTACTTCTCTATTTATAATGTCTAATTTCCAGGTACCTGTTTTACGTTTCCCCGCGTCCACTCGTCAACAACATTGAAACATTGTTGATAACAGCTACTTTGAACTTATGGCCGACAAGGTTAGATTTTCTTTGTTATTGTCCACAGGGAACTTGATATTTGATCTTGAGTCCTCCACAATCTCCTAGTGGTTGATAATATTGGATATTTGCTTAAATGAATCGTATAAAAACTTTCATAGATCGTTGAAAAAAAATTTTGATACTCACTAAAGATAATGAGAGGAATCTCAGGTACAACGACAAAGTAACCTACCCGGCTGTAATACTGGCGGCTCTCAGTGTGGCTATACGTCCTACTCTGGTCCTTTTCTGGGTCTTTCTAGGTTTGCCATTCTTATAAATATCACTGATATTCATATTCATATTCCAATTAACAGCTATCTCTGGATTTTAACCTCCGATCTTAAACCGGTTCTTTTTTACACTGAAAACAGTTTGTAGGCAAGTTAGAAACACCTCGACTTAACAAACTAAACCTCAGGTGTCCACTACCTGATAAAATGTCCCGAGAGAAGATTCTCCTCGATTATCAAAGCATTTGTCATCGGACTTCCTACTCTTGTTCTAACCACCCTGCTCGACTCCTACATGTACGGAAAATTCACTTTCGTCTTCCAGAACTTCCTCAAGTTCAACATGGCTGGTAGTGAGGTGTACGGGGCACATCCCTGGCATTGGTACCTGTCTCAGGGTGTACCTGCCATTCTTGGCACTCATTCTATTTTCATTGCGGTGGCGTTCATCAAGGAGCGGGACTATCCTAGGCAGTTCTTGGGTGTCGTGCTGGCAACATTGTTCTTCTTCTCGACAATATCCCACAAAGAGTTCCGGTTTGTGCAACACCTGATGCCAATATGCATGGTCTGGGCCGGGCTGGGTTTACATTGGATCAGTCGGCACATTGAAAGGTCCTCTCTTTACACCATCATAATGCTCAACGCCCTCGTTAATATAATTGTAGCCTTTTACATCGGCTTCTTCCACCAGCGCGGTACTATTTCTGTTGTACATGATTTATCGAGCTCAGTTAAATCGGGTGACAGTGTGGTGTTCCTGACACCGTGCCATGCTACTCCCTTCCACTCTCACATTCACAATGCTGAGGTCGACCTCCGGTTTCTGGACTGTTCCCCCGACTTGTCCGGGCTCGAGAGCTACGAGCACGAGGAGAAACAATTTTATCGGGATCCTCAGAGTTGGTGGAAAAAGTTCAGCGGCGAGAAGAAAAGGGTGGCCAAAAGTACTGAGTACGTTGTGGCGTTCGAGGAAAATCTACCGCATCTTCATAAGCTGCTGAAGGATTCAGGTTATAAAGTGGACAGGAAATATTTCTTTGCTCATTTGTTGGTCGACGATAAACTTACTTCTCATTTGTTACTCTACAAGAAAACGTGGGGTGCATGATAGCATGTGGCAATCCTAACTTCTAGTTCTATGCTGTGTGTGCATTTTATTTTTATTTCGATTAGAATTTGTCTCTAATATCTTTTCAAGTGATACCTATTAGGAGTTTGATGATTCCGTGAGTATTTTAAGCGAATGCATGTCTTTTTATTAATATTGTTTGATGTTTTTATTGCTTTACCATGTAAACTTAGCTTATGAAGTCATTTTAAATGTTTTAGTCTGTGATTAACTTTATATACAAATTTTTTGTTCAAATGTGCCAAACCCTGTCTTTCTTCTGTTTTCGATGTTTTGCGTCACCCTTTACTGGGCCGCGCTCAGCCTGTCATTCCGCCGAATCTATATATGTTTATGAACATAATAGCCTGAGGTCCCCAGGTAACGTCACCCTATACTTTACCCATATTGCATATCTTTGTACAATTTACATGTATTATGTATTAACCAGCTCAAAAATTACATAGAAGTTTTACCTGAGGACCCCAGGCTATTATATTTATGTTCATAATCATAAAATAGAGATTTGGAGGAATGACAGGCTAGTGAGCGCCGCCCAGTAAATATAAGAAGTTTAGAACATGAATGATTAATATAAGTGACACGCTTGTTTAAACGCGATTAACGGGTGATACTCTAAAATATCTGTTCCATATATTGTCCAACTCGGCGCGCGTCCTGGTAGGTTGTAAACCTACAAAAACGCGACGACGGGCGCGATATTGCAAGCGCGTCGCGTAAGGGCTTTTGTTAAATTAAAAGTTGAGTGCGCGGCACAGTAACGCATCATATCGCGCTACAAGTTTATAACCGAACCTTGCTCTATCCAGAGCCCTTGCGCTTGCAGTAGCGCGCGCCCGCCTCACAACAACAAACAAGCGCGCCCGAAGTGGCGCGAAAGCACATGGTTAGGTGAAACCGAACCAAGTAGTCAGTAGTGCAAACTTACATAGCCTGTTATGTAATAAACTAGCGCTATAAACCGAAAACCCCTCGGATCGCTGAGTTCCCTTAACTGTTGCTCTAACCAGAGCCCTCTCGCTTGCAGTAGCGCGCGTCACGCAGTACGCGTAGACACATGGCTATGTGAACCTTAACTGGGCGGTGCTCAGCCTGTCATTCCGCCTTACCAAGGGACCTCAGGCTACTATGTTCATAATAGAGATTCGGCGGAATGACAGGCTGAGCGCGGCCCATGGTAAATTCCGTCTAATCTCTATTCGGCGATTATTTGTAGCGCGATGCACTACTGGGTCGCGCCGCGCATCAAATAATTCTTCTCGGTAGGTCGGCGAGATGCACCATTGTGCCTCACCGAGCTGCGACAAGCGTGCTAAATCACTTTACAGTCGATCTTCGAGATTATTCTAAAAGGGCCCCCGACAGTTGAAACCAGCTTGAATCGATGTATTTTCGGCCGCTGATTCCGAATCACCTCCCATGACATAAGGTTAAAATGCTCCCCTGCCGAGATATTTGCGAAAAACTGTCTTTATCACGTGATATGACCGTATAAGGAAGTTGGTCGAATTTCTCGTTAGGGTTAGGGTTTCAGCATATGCTTTTGTTAGGGATTGGGTTAGGGTTAAGGTTGGCATATGATTTCGAATAGTCATTCAGGGCCACCAAGAGAACGTGTTTAAAAAGTCACGTGACAGCTAGTCAAGTGTAGATGGTAGAGTGATTAATCATCATCCGAGCTGCGAAGGATTGACATCGTGAATCAAGGCGATTATGAACATAAATATAATAGCCTGATGTCCCCAGGTAAGGCATAAGGTTCCCTTCACGCATATAAAAAACCGAATACAGAATAGTATATATAGGGATAAGCACGTTTGCGCCGCGCGACAAGTTTGAAAAATTGATTTGCAAGCTATCGACGATATTTTTGTAGATTTATAACTTGACGGTTGTTACTCGTCTAAATTTCTTCGAACGCGAAGTAGCGCGCGCCGCTTTCTTCTCGAAATGTTACGACGGCACGAGCTACGAAGTAGCGCGCGCCGGGCCAAATCATTAACAATGGTCAAGTTTATAACCTACCAGGACGTTGAAAAAAATATTTTACGAGTATCAGCCGTTAACAATATTTCAAATATTGTACCGGCCGGGTACCGTTTATTAATTTTTTTCCCTACTCTTGCCGAAGGCAAAAAGATCGTAGGGAATAAGTAATCGGGTTTGGATATATAAAGTGGCCCGACGGTCCTATGGTGTCGACAAAAGTTTGCTCCTTCGCAATATAGACCACTCCCCTAAAATTATGTGTATTGGAAGGGTCTGTGATGCTGCGCGCGACGCTAGTCATGTATTAATTAATTACAGTGAAGTTCCTCCTTCGCAATGTTATTTTCCGCAATTTTCTGGATTCATTTATTGTTGATGCGCGCGGCACTACATTGGTCAAATAAATTGTCAATTTTTATCATGCGCGAATCCTTCACATAGCCATGTGCCTACGCGTACTGCGTGACGCGCTTGTTTCACAAGGTCGCGCGCTACTGCAAGCGAGAGGGCTCTGGTTAGAGCAACGCGAATCCCACTCATTTATTATTTTTTCCAGTCACACTTTTCACTCGAAAGAATTAATGGTACAAGATACAAATACATCGTAGGGAAAATTGATCGTGCGTGGTTTAACCGCGGCGAAATTCTTGTTTATATTTAAAGTCAAAAAAATTAAGAGTGATTCAAAATTGGTAAACGATAACAAGTGCTGCAGCCAATTGTAGGGGGACAAAACATATAAATTGATTGTGCAGTAATTTAGTATTACAGTAAATACTAAATTTAAGTTGAATCTTGTAGGTTTACAACCTACCAGGACGCACGCCGAGTTGGACTCGTCGACGGTCCAATATATGGAACAGATATTTTACAAGTATCACCCGTTAAGTTGAATCGTGTTCAGAGTCAATTAATTAAGTAAAAGTAAAGTAAAATTTATGAAATTACATTATCACATGTCTTCTTACCAGGCCGCGCTCAGCCTGTCATTCCGCCGAATCTCTATTCTCTTTGTTTATGAACATAATAGCCTGAGGTCCCCAGGTAAATGTTTTCAAAATATGTATGTGAAGAAATATGTAAATATTTCCCCACCAACATTAATTATTTATCAAATACAATATTTAAAAAAATTATCAAAACATTATCTTATTTAAAAATTGAATGACGATTGACAAAGATATAATAATATGGTTAACACTCCTAAACTCCTAAAGGTCATGAAGTGCTTGTTGGATGGGGGTATAAACTGCTTTTTGTTGTGATGTGAATTTGTTATATATTATTGCAAAGGGTTTTATTATTTTTTACCTCAGTTTTTAAAATTTTTACCATTAAAAAAAAAAAATTATATAGGGTCATTGCTATATTACGTGTATATTGTTTAAATAATTTTCTGCAAGAGCCACTTTGGTCTACTTGCCGTGAGGTGTCTCAGCTAAAACAATAATATGGTCAATTTCAAATTTAAATATCACTTCAACAAGTTACTGGGCTGTGCCCAGCCTGTTCGCAGGAGAGGCTAAGTGCAAAGAAACTGCTGCTAACTAGTGAAACAAATTTTTAGTGAAACAAATTTAAAATTTTATCCTTTATTTTACAATCATAATATAATAATATTTATAAGCCTCCGTTTTGAAAGTTTTAAATTTTAATATATTCACATTTCTATTTAAAATTCAATTTAATGTATAAGTCAATAATTGGCCGCCAAAGCCGCGCATCCTTGAAAACAGGATTAAATTGTTTATGATTAACGACAAATAGAAATAAATTTAAAACTATCCGTGGTTTTTTGAAATAAATTATAATCTTACCTAAATCCAAAGCCAGCTTTGTAAAATTTACTATTAGATCATAATATATCGTCAGTTCTAAATATGTACAATGCAACATTTCATTAATCTACATACAAGCGTACTCCAGCCCCTGCACGCATCCGTTCTTATGCGGCGCGGCTCAAGCCGCGCACGCACGTATTATTTTATACTTTTTGCTTTCTAATAAATATCATGTCAATGTGTACGTCTAAATGTTCATATTTTGTGTAAACCGAATCCAATTGAGATTAGTGACAAGGATAAGGACCCAAGTGCCTGTACGGCTTTTTCGGACCCCTGTGGACCACTACTCTTGAAATCGCTCTACAACTATTGAACATTTATAACTGTTATATAATATATAACGTCATTTGACAATTATTATCATTAATCTACATTCTAACTTAAACTGCTGCTCACTGCTGCTCACTGCTGCTCACTGCTGCTCACTGCTACTAACTGCTGCTCACTGCTGCTCACTGCTGCTCACTGCTGCTCACTGCTGCTCACTGCTGAACAGTTAGTAGCAGTGAGCAGCAGTGAGCAGCAGTGAGCAGCAGTTAGCAGCAGTTTCTTTGCACTTAGCCCCTGGCCCTCCTGTGTGTTATTCCGCTCAGCCTGTCATTCCGCCAAATCTTTATGTTTATGAACATGATAGCCTGAGGTCCCCAGGTAATTTAACAAGGAGTGTTATTTTGACACGACACATTTTCTGCCCAAAAAAGGGCCATATTAGTTTCAGTTGTGCAACTGTATAGATTTATTATTATAATTAAATATTATAATCAAATTCCTGAATTCAATCCTCTAGATGGCATGGAAGGCAATATGGATTGTGGGTGTGGAATTGATGTCCAAGCAGTGGCGTAACAAAGGGCCTGCTGACCCCGCTGTGTGGGGGGAGGGGGGGGAGGGATGCGGGGCGCCATCTTAGGGGGGCGCAAAATCGTCGTTTGGATGTGGGACAATTTTGAAAAACTTAACTGAGGTACTAGGAAAACTGTGCGTTTTGCTCTATGAACACGCTTTTTTATTACCTGGGGACCTCAGGCTATTATGTTCATAAACGAATAGAGATTCGGCGGAATGACAGGCTGAGCGCGGCCCAGTAAGCTTTTTTAAAGATTTTACTGGCGTATCCTTTAAAATCATCTAATTGGTTCAATTTTAGGGAGGGTTGCCAAAAGGGGAGGGGGCATTTTCGGCGGGGGGAGCCAACAGGCATTATTACGCCACTGTGTTAGCCCCAAGCGTTTTGGTCCCTCATTCCTGCCACTCAGCATTGCCTACTGTAAAGTAGAAATTTTTCTAAGACAATAGAGAAACTGACCCTGTCTCACTAAATTCCCCTAAATTCAACCACTTACCATACCGTAATAAAAATACTAACAACCAAATAAAGTTTTTTAAGTAAAGAATATTTCCTCAAGTTTACGTCTAGCTAACTAATTCGTGGTTTAACCTCTTATTTTATTTATGATTACGGGTAAACCGCCCCTAAAATGTCACCCACCCCTAAAACGCCACTCTTGATTGATTGGATCCCATCTTCTTAGAAAGTATCTTACCTAATCATTTGTAACTCCTAAACATAAAAAAATATCATTCAGACCCTGCCACATCCTGAAATTGAATCTAAATGATGCCATAAGGGCATTTTTTTCACTTTGTACGAATTTTTTACTTTTGAAAAAAAGCGCACAATTTTATAACTCTGGAATTCATCAATATTAACTCGGTTTTGGTCTAGGATAGTGATAAATTACATATTTTAGCAACTTTGTACATATGACTGGAGATATGGAAAGTTATACATTACTCAATATTACTACCCTCCCCTTAAATGTCACCTGGCCGCCCCCTAAAATGTCATTTTATCATATTCTGGCTTTGAGACTACAAGCACCATAAAATGGAGGTACCAGCCTATTAAACATCATATTTAGCATCTAATGGTAATATTGGAAAGCTTTGGCAGCTCAAGGAATTAGTTTTATTTTATTAATCGCAATAAACATCCCCTAAAATGTCTAATTATCCCCCCTAAAATGTCATTTTAACTTGATCAAATTACTCAGGCTTTTCCTAAGATGCAATGCATACTCACATTTCGTTAATAGTTGATGTTAATAATTAACAAGTGCCAAAACAAGAGCTATATACTATTATTGCACACCATGCGAACAAAATACAAATTTGACATTTTAGGGGAGAAAAAAATGACATTTTAGGGGGCATATCATAGGTTTACCATAAACTAGTAAGTACCAAAAACCGTAGTTTTTGACATTCAATTTTGCTAAAAGCAGTCAAATCTAGTCTATAGAGAAGGTCAGATCGATTACTGGGTTGGCTTACAGGTCACTAAAATTGCCAAGATGCAGGATGATGTTAAAAATCCCAAAAAATGCAATTAAAACATGCAATTTGCACAAGGTTAAAATCACATTGAATCCATTTCTTTTGTGCCAATTGTTAGTTTATAACTAGATAATCTAACTACAGGTGTAAATTTTGTTGACTGAGTTACTGTTTTGCCGTAAGTTTTGGGTATTCAACAAAAAAGTCCCCAAAATGTCACAAAAAGTAAATTGACTAAATTCCACCATTTTTTTTCAACAGAGAGAGAAATTCTAGTCGAAACCTCTCAGAAATAGGTTATATTTGTCCCAGAAGTGGTTAAAATTAATAATTGAGCAACATTCTGAGTGCTACACAACCTGTTTTAGCTGACGTTTTAGGGGTGGTGCACGTGACATTTTAGGGGGTGATTACGGTTTTGAGGTACTTCCTTTAGTGAGTGAATGTTTTCAAGTAGCTTAATGTTTTAATAAGACAAAACAAATAGTACTAGTGACAAAAGATAAATCAGGCCTCCTGTACATTTTGAAATTATCACACATATAGAGTTGACATTTTAGGGGTGGTGTTTTAAAAGTGACTCCATTTCAACGTCAAAAAAATTGTACCTGATTTTATTTTCAAATTTCCAAATCTTCCTGGCAGGCTAGAAAAAGGTTTAAATATTATTCCTAGACACTTCAGAACCCTGTAAATTTAGCCCTAACTCGGCAATCTGGGCCCAAAAAACAGGTGACGTTTTAGGGGCGGTTTACCCGTAAAGGAATGTAAAATAAAACTTTTCGTTTCATTGAAAACTTTTCTTTTCATTGTGTCCAAGAATTGTTTATTTAGGGATGGTGCCTGTTGCTGATAAAGATTTTGTTTCTTGAATATTTCCTCTTGAGATACAAATAACTGGCTCAATATTGTCTGGTAATTGTATGATGATATCGTAGTTTCCCTTGGATTCCCCTTCTGTTTTATGTCCTAACAGCTGTGCCGGTAATCCTCGATATTTTGCACACCTGTTTTCCTGCACAGGCTGCTGCAGACAATTTAGCAAGCACAATTTGTAATAACAGTTGCAAACCATGTATATGATGAAGGCAAGCGAGTAAATCAATAGTGGAAGAAAGTTGAAGAATATAATCGAAAAGTCTATAAATCTCAGACATCCATCTTTTAATGGACTCTGGTAAAGTAACCCTTCATTCGTGACAAAGAGACAGGGCTTTGGAATTTGATGACGAATGAGCTGATAAACTGCTCCAATTGCCCTTAGAAATGAACCAATACTTGACATTAGGGATATGACACTCAGAGCTACCCAGCATATAAATATTTTTTGTCGCTTTCTTTTTTCTTCGTCACTTTTGATTTCATAGTTGCACTGCTGGCCATCTTCCAAATTTTCTTTAGATATTGCTGAAAATTTGCTCGTAATGTGACATTTTTGCTTCACATTATCGATTTGTTCTGCAATGAAAAGTCGGTCTTTCAAATGTAACAACTGTGATACAAGGGGAACAAAAGAAACAACTGCCTTAAAAACATTTCTAAGAACGACACCTGAGCTTGGATGACTCGATATATACTTCTCTATCCAAAAGTATTCAAGGAAAGATTCTGCACAATCTTCTGTTATGTAAATAACTATGGAGACATAAAGATTACCTATGGCACGAGGTGACAATGCCACTAGTTTAAAAGTGAACTCTGATTCTTTTGGCGTGAACAGAACTTCCCAAAATCGGCCTATGATTAGTATCAACAGAGGTGTTTTCAGTGATCCAACCGCAGCATAAGCCATTATTGAGTTATTCACATACACATTTCTTGATATGTTGCTACTTATCAATCCACCCTGTTCTAGATTGTAGAAATAAATGCCATCTAAGACAACATCTATTGAGTCCCACACAAGTGGAATCACTGGTGTGATGTACACTGTGACATGGAATTTGTACTTGTACCATATTTCTGGAATCCAACTTCTTTTATTGGTAGCAGCATCATTGTTCTTTTCCTTTTGAAGTAAGCCCAACTTTTCAAAGTTTCGCCATATAATTGGAAGTCCTATCACAGTGCACATCACTGAGAAAAAACAAGGAAATACCACACAAGCTAGGGTAGCCTTTTTAGTGAGTCTTGGGACCCACTGTTGGGTTATTCCACAGTACTCTGGGTTAATGTGTCCTATCTGTGTACAAAATGTTGTGTTGTTCATTCTGCTCCCTGTTTTTTAATAAAACAAAAGTTGATAAAAAATGACACAGAAGGAACTTATTAGAAACAAAAATATTACAGTTAGCTTACTTTTTCAGATTTCAAAACAATGCTGTTTTAGTTTTTTCATCAATTGGAGACTTTTCTAGTACAAACACTATGAAATAAACATCATTATTCAAACTTTTAACAACATGTGTAGACGCCTGTGTATACATAATTTAATGTGCTATACACACTGAAATTTAATTATCATTTAACCCTCTGTAAACAAGCAAACCTGCTAGGCAAAAAGAAATTATATTGGTAAATAAATCTTGTTTCATAGATTTATCATTCTAGGCCAACATGTTGCGTCTGTGTTCAAGACGAGTTGGAAGCCTCGTCAAGCTATGTGCAACAGTCCCTCTCCAATCAGCTAAGGGTATGTGGACAAACACACATCAGGAAAGCAGCATGATCATTTCAGCCTTTTATCCAGCCTTAACTAATTCAGTTTAAGTTTAATATCATGATGAAATCTAGCATAAGGTAATCCTGAACTCAGTTCAGTATTGTGTGTGGAATTTATTTAGTGGCAAGTTCAACCTTTCCAATAATATGTACTATAAATAACACTCTCTCCCCCATACAGTCCCAAGTGTGCAAGTTTACGACAGTACCCGTCACCTCAGCTCAGTCAGTTCACCTGGAGCTGCTAACTCCCCAGAGTACCCCTGTTCTGATCCTGACCTTCTCCCTGACAATTGGAGCGAGGTGGAGGACTGGAGCATGATCTGGTATGATGGGAGGGATACTGTTCATGTTAGGGTTAATGCTACTGAAGAGGATACGGACTGGCGTGGCGTTGGGTTTTACTCTAGAGGTTTGTGACATATTTTGTGGTGTTTATTGTTAATTTCCTTTATGAGGTAATTCAGGACTAGAGCAAAGACTACTATACATTTCAATCATGTACATGTAATGCGTACTCAATTATATTTCAAAGAAGTACAGCTTCAGTTTCAGTCACTGTTCATAAATATTTGTGATTTTTGCGATTTAGGAACAGCCGAGCCTCTGTACGTTACTCATCTCAGGATTTCTTGATTTACTTCTATTTCCTTTGTTTTACAATTACAACTCTATACACTCTCAGAATCTCAGAAAGAAATTCGAGAATTCACAGATTTATTTCTACAGAAATGTATAAAGTTTTTAATATATCATTTCCTCAGAGGCATACTGGTTGGGTGCGCTACGCTGGAATGAGAGAATGAGAGGAGAGGAGCCCGCTGTCTGGTTACATTGGGTTGGTAAGGACCCTGTTGAGATCTGTAACAAGCTACCTCATCCTGACGAGAATGGTAATTGTATTTTTCAACTTTTAAAACTTTAAAGAAATTCACCTGTCTTAGAATTGTTTGCCTCCCAGACCTGTTTTTAAATTAAACGATAATTATATTATTAATATATTATCATAACAATAAAGTAAGACGTGTAAAAATGAAGATGTAGTACGAATCTTTCACTAAAATGTGAACTATAAATTTCAGGTTGTTACACGTTCTCTATTTCATTCCACAAAAGGGAACTAGTTCTCCACTGTAATGGTGAATTTATGGGGGTGCGTAAGAACATGATATATCAGTTTAAAAACGTTGGACGACTCTGGTTTGCTGATTTGGAGCGTGTCAACGGTTCTTATGTTATTGAGGTATTTTATAAACATTAACACTATATCATTAATTTATTAATCGCTAGAGGTAGTAAAAATATAAAGAATACATTTCCTCTACGACATCCATGTATAATTACCCTAGCTCCATACCTTATAAATAGAATACTTTAGAATAACTAAAAATAATAATACTTAATGGTAATACTTAAGAATAACTAAAAATAAGAATACTTAATGGTAATACTTAAGAATAACTCAATAAACTCTCAATTGAATAATCATCTCTGAAGGGTCCCCACACGGATGATAGTGGTTACACAACCTACCAAGACGTGCCGATATTCCAGAAAGTATCTGACATGTATAGAGTCTTTAAACAGTGTCAAAAGGATCATGCCGAGGGAAACCTGCCCGATCATGTTAGTCTTAACTTTTCAAATTAAAGATTGTTGATTCTTTTCTATAATACCGTGGGTTCTAACATTCAAATTTTCATACTATATAATTTTTTGGATATAATGAGAAAATCGTAATGTAATAAACATAATGATGATATATTATGATTTAACGGTTATATTTTCTTTCAGGGTTGGAGGAATTCTTCATAAAGGAAGTCGTTTGTAGAGATCTTAAATTATGAATTAAGCGTTTCAATAAATGGGAACTCGTATATTAGTACTGTTTAACTTATTCTCTTGAAGACTGAGTTCGAAATTGTAAGAGCCATAAAGTTTTGATCATGGATTGTTTTCCCTTTAAGCACAATTTTTGTGAATTCTCATGTTACACCTAGATTTTCTTATTTAAGGATGAGTCATTACTAATGACTACACTAACTATAGATAGTTTCCTACTTGATACTCATTTAAGAATTAAATTTAAAAGCACCTGTTTCTAAAGCAAGAGTCTGAATTCAAAAATAAGAATCGTCATAAAAATTACAAAATTAATACAGCAATCACATTAGTTAAAGAGGCTAAATAATTAATTTTCGAAACCAATATTTTATAATAAGATGATGTCACTTTTTGTATTGTACTTGGTAATTGGTATTACAACTAATATCATAGGATTTACTGATAAATGTGTAAGCTCATTCGACTACTGATCAAAATATGATACTCCTTATTACAGCTTATTATGTTTCAGCTAATACATATTATAAATTACAAATAATCTGCGTAAAGGTGCAAAGTGTCATGATACAATTAACTCTTTAATTCGCTGAGAGGCTATGAGTATTAATAATTCCTCTTATCTTCCCCCTAACAAAATTCCTAAACCCTTGATTGATAATAGTATAGATAATCGGATTTAACCAGCATCCCAAACTAAAAGTAACGGCCATGGCCTTGTCCAGCCCTGGTGGTGGAATAATGAGATGAGAGGGCCATGATGCCAGGAAGTACCTAACTAGGGTTGGTGACCAGGAAATGAGGAATAGTGACGTCACCACACTCGTCGTTATTAGAGCCTTGGTCTGAATACTAGAGCTGCTCTGTTGTCTTTCTGGTCCTTTCTTCAGAATGCTGATTGATGATTCGCATTTCTTTAGGATGCTGATCGATGATTCGCATTTCTTCAGGATGCTAACTGAAGATTCTTTTTTCTTCACCATGCTCTCTGGTGATCCTTCCTTCTTTAGTAATCTACCTGATGACGATTCCTCTTGTTTGAGTAAGCTACCTGATGGTTCTTCTTTCAGTAGGACTGATGATTGTTTGGTTTGCAAGTCTGATTTCCGTTTAAGAGATGCAGTGGGAACCACCTTCTTCTCACCACACTTCCTCACAATGTTCCACATTGACACATTAGTGAACAAAGTGACAACACACGCTACTAACGTGCTACTCATGAAGAGAAAATGTGGGATTCGCTCAGCATCTGCAAACGTGTACACGCAAATCATGATGTTTCTGTTGAACTCCAGTTTGACCCTGGCAGCAGCTGCGTAACCAACCCAAAGGAGAAGACAGATAGCCCACTGGGTAAACACCATTATCCGGGTGTGGTTCGGGTTTATCAGACCTGCTTTCAGCGGCCATTTGCACCGTATGTACCTAGGAAACACCGAGTGAGCTCGTGTAAATTGTAATTGTGTACGTAATGTATCACAGGGCAACTTGCAGACACATATTTAGGAAAGATTGTATTATCATTTTGATAATTATACCACTCTAAAAACATAAACTCCAAACCTGTGCGAAGAGACGAGCATGACAAAAGCCATGTTAGCACAACCCGGAACCACAAACCCAAAGCCCACCACATAGCACATGTGCTCCCCCAGCACCCACTTCCTAGCCAGATGGGTTACCAACAGCGGCATATCGTACATAAACACCAACATCAGGTCCGCTATTGCCAGGTTCCTCACCAACACTATCGTCACCCGGTCTAGTTTAAAGGTGCCGTATTTTAACGAAGACATTATCACCATGGTGTTACCGATCAGGCCGATCAGGATGCCAATGAGAAGGATGGTGATACTGATACCCCGTTCCCATGGTATCCTGATTCCCTGTTCGTAGATGTAAGAGCTACAGTTTAGTTGTTGAGAGATGGAGGAAGAGTTGGGTAGGTAGGGGTACTGGGTGTTGAGGACCCCTTCGCAGTAGTCAGCTGACATCTCCTGTTGCTTAAGATTGAGATTAATAATCACTTCAACAAATAGTCTTGAATGTGTACAATCGAACTATAGCATTACGAAGGATAAGAAAATACCCACTGGCAATTGGCCTCCGCTAGATAATAAGAACAATTTATCATTATGAGCTGATTTGCGGGCAATTAGGCGCGATCTGAAAATGTTACTACTAAAACTAGGATATGTAGTTATTTCTGTCTGCCATACCAGTCTACAGTGTACTTCATACAATAATTAATGATGTAGATGAATGTCCGTAGATAATCATTTCCGTACTTATCAAAAGACATACGTCGTCCGATGATATAATACATAAACAATTTGAATATAACGATTTTGGTATTGGAGGTGTATTAGCTTATATCTGAATGTGAAACTTCTGCAGTTTCGTCACAAAAAAGTTGTAAGCATATTTTATATTGTAGCCTGTAGTATGACGTATAATTATTGTGATCCACTGAAATAACACTGAAAAAAATGAAAGCTGCAAGTTTTTACTGTATCCTTGTTATTACCTTCATAACCTCAAAAGTATTGACGATCTTGCTAACGCTGAAGGCCTGGAAGCAATTTGGCAATAGGGATTATATTCAAACACAGTTTCTATAACGATTCAAATAATGAATTTGTAGTCCATATTATATTAGGCCTGCCAACAATTGTAAGACTAGTTTGGTTCGTAAAAGGGGATGTAGATTTCCCAAAAATTTTGATAAATTTGCTTTTAGGATTGAAATCTTACAATGAGAGATGATAAATATATTCAAGTTTCGTTGTACAGTTAGTAATCTAGTGAAAATTAGACTCCTGCCACCAAATAGTTGGAAGCTTTATCTTCCCACCAATAAGCTTCCCATCTCACCGGGAACCTTCCTCTCTTCCCATCTTCTACCAATGATCGACATTTTCTCAATAACTTTTTTTCTTAAAAACATTTTTCCCGGAAAAAATTCGATTTCTCGGTAAATTTCCCGCTAAGTCAAAATCATTTCCCGGTACGCTACACTCTACAGTAATGCACGCCGCCGCGTGCACCACTGGTACGCTATCGTACCACTTTTTAAAGGTAAGTAATCGTAACGTGAGTTAACTTGCAATATGGCGGACTCGACCTTTGACCAGCTGTGCAACATAAGGAAGTGCATGGTAGATAGATAGGTACTTACATCATACATGGGTGTGAAGGTGAATAGGTGCATACGCCATACTCTAAAAAGTACTGAATGCCTTTCTATTAAACTTAAGAGCCAAGCTAATCTGCTATTTGCTAATGAATTTTTCAGATTATGTAGCGATTTATTGAAATCTAAAAGAAATCTGATCAGAAGTAGTTAGCAGGACTTATCAAATGCATGGTCAAATGTCAATTTGATTCGTGTCACGTATTTCGTAAGAATATTGGTGACTGACTAGACTTTTTATTAAGAGCAAACAATATACTCATAATATCGAAGTTGAAAACTTATAAGTAAACTCTAAAAACAATACCATCACCAATAAACCAATTTATCAACTATCAAGCTGTTAAATCATACCCTATATATATAATAGGCCATGAAAAAAAAGCAATAAAGCATTAGAAACTGAACCATAAGTGATTACACAACACATTCTGACGACACTAACCTAAGTTCTGACGACACTAACCTAAGTTCTGACGACACTAACCTAAGTTCTGACGACACTAACCTAAGTTCTGACGACACTAACCTAAGTTCTGACGATAGCTATAGTAAGGCAGTACCACATGAATTGTAATGATACTAATTGTCGCGATGAATTGATGACGCTGATGCAGTGATGCTGGCATATTATGAATACCAACGCAACTGATGATATAATTGGTTACCACTAATTACTTAATTAGTTACAACATACTATAGATATGATAAGTTGATGAAACCCATTGTGTGTCTCATAGGGCGGGTACCTACTACACTTCATGGTATATAGGGCTAGAGGACCTTTGTGGGAAACAGGATATTATAGATATTGTCTTTTGTGATTACTTTAATTAAGTAAATCGTAACCACTATTAAACTAACTAACGCTATGATTATTGATTATGAATATCACGATTATCATTAATCATAACTATGTATTTAATATGTGACAAACTGAACGTTAAAACAAACAAACTAACAAATAAGGAAACTAGGAGTATTAGCACGAATTATTATTTAAATGCAACTGAGCATTATCTATCATCCACTTGATGTATGCATATTGTGATGTCAACTCTTGAGTCTTTGGTCGAAATAAAATAGCTATTTAATGTTATCTAACCAATTAACCAAACAGTTTATTATCCACATTCCACATCTCTCGTCTCTAACAATGCCCTACTTACTGTTAAATTACTTACTCAATCTTAACAATATGTTCTATGTCATTTTCCATCTTCGACTTATGATCTAGAGAAATAGAGCAAGACTGCACAATTTCATCTTTGCGATACATTCGTCTCTGGTAACAGAAATTGCTGTACTCATCTGTTGAACATCTAATTTTGGACCACTTTATTGCCGGTAAAGATCGATTTGTTAGTTTAGCTAGTGCGGAGTTTTAACTTTCTATACTGGAGTCTGCACAATTGTCTGTATCATTGAAGTTGGATAATCAAGAGTCAAGACTACGTCTATCTACTCATACCTATAAGACTATTTTGTGGACTGTGGAGCGAAGTGATAACCATTCAAACATTTGAACAAACGACCAACTTGTAGGTTGAGGAATGAGCTACTGCAATTTAACTTGAATTACCTAGTACTACATACCCTACAAACTAGTACTAGAGTACTAGAAAATATCTTTAGAAGACTGAACTATTCAACCATATCAGTCGAGTAAGTCGAGTACATCACGAAGCTTTTATCCTGTTGAGGTAAGCGGAAAATGTTTTAATCGTCAGATAATCCGAATCAAACACTTGGATATTTTAAATGAACCAGTCATTTGTTAAACAATATTTGTCCAGGAGCCAAAGCAATTGCAATTTGAACAACAACATCACAATAGCGAACTGTTCAAAAATTGACCAGTTGAATTGTTTTAAACCTTAATAATATATAAGATCGGTCATTAAATGTTCATAAAACTACTGTATTATATGAATCGTTTCTACGAAGTATCGGAAGGACACGAAATACCATCACAAAGTAGATAAAAGGAAGCGACAAAAACTCTTGCTTCTCTGGAATCCAATTTTCGCTCAAAGAATTCTTTTGAAATATCTCGAATTCCACCAATTCCAGTGATGAGTACTTGAATCTGATATTGTTAATTGTGCACCATGACATAACATCATGAAATAACGGACAAATGTCCAGTGTGAATCCTTTATTATAATAACAATATATCATGTGACGGTTTACATGTAAAAAGTGCAAGTGTGGCTGTGTTGATTACAGATTAATACTTATCGCTGCTAGATGAAAATAGAGGCTATCCTTGGCTTTTAAGTTTTTAAGTTAAGGAGCTTCCATGTTTCCGAATCCTATAGGCGGAGTGTATAGAGCATTAAACTAAAGGAGGCAGAGCCTAAAGTAGGGGAACATTGCACATTGCACAAGCCTTCGTTATATGGGACGTAAGAGAACGATTACACATGTTTGAGCTGAAAATTATTCAGTGAATAATATTACCATAACAAGGATAATTGTAATTTGTAGCCTACAGAGCTGAGTGTCTGCGATTAGGCAGCTCTCAGGCGCTCATAGCCCTGTTATATTTGTTTACTAAAACAAGGGATGGTTCACATATTTACATGTATAGCGTAGCATATTATATATACACATATTATAATATAGCGCAGGGCGAGTAATTCAACGTACACAATAACTAAGTGTAAAGTGGTTTACTACTGTGCGGAGGAGGATGGGGTCTAAAATGTGAACAATCTCCAAGTTCTAAAAGTCTACGAGGTTATGCTAATATTATGTACCTCACAGACTTTACAGCAGTTAAGCAGCTTGTAAATACAGAGATAATCCACTTTACAGTACTTTACAGTACTTTGGTATAGTGATGGTAAAGTGATGATTTCATGACTTAATGATGGAAAATACTGAAATTACCAAACGGAATCATTTTAAATAGTAATACTAATACTGTACATCCCAGGGTTATTCAGCAGCTGCTTAATATGTGATTTAACGAGGCCAATTATATTTATAGCTCATTTCATAATACCTATCAGTATCTTAAGTTCCACTTGAATTATTTAAATCAATAATTTTATCGGACCATACTTTTCATCATTTCACATTCGCTACAATTTCCCCATTTTGAGATTCAGAAAGTGAATGATCGAAGAGCTTTCGAAGAGGTTTCGTTCCTAAAATTATTAACAGTTTTAATGTTAGCCCACTTCTCTCACCGATTCAGCCTTTACAATATCGAACCTGGTTATCAGTACAATTTAATACAAAGACAAAGAACTAGCTGAAACTACGAATATGATATTTTGCAATAAATATTATTGAGCTTGAAGATTAAAATGTAACATTCCAATTATAGACCGTTAGTATAATTTGAGGACTATTCAGATTAAGTTCATTGTAACTTGTAAAAATTAAAGAATTTATCCCAAGAAAATCAATCGAAACTGAAACTGATGGAATAACAAGAACGATATTTTGGTATCGTCCACATGAACGATATCAGATTCAGGATTGATTGATCTATAAAGAAATTCTAAGTGATACAGCACGATATCAATAATGAAATCACATCTTTAAACTTTGCCACTTTGATTACTCCTGTAGAATTACTTTGTATGTTGAGATGATACATTTTAGGCAAACGTATCAAAGTATTTTATTATAAATATCAGATGGGGTATCAGTGGTGCATGTTCACTGCTGGAATACTTACTTAAGCTTCTGGACAACAGTATCAAGTACGTCCTCCAATCACTCCTGGCTTAGATCTTTTTGAAGATTCCATTCCATTCAAGGCGGTATATCCTTTTGTGGGCACTG